GAACGCGCACCGGGTGAAAATAGCCACAAAACTCGCCTGCATTATTCTCACTCCGGGTGAGAATAGAGGTGGCCAAAAAAAAATCCTATAACAAACAAAACAAAACTACTCACACGCACAGACAAACAGCAACACTTACAACGATGGGATAAAAAGAATAGAAGACACAAACCAAAAGATCAAATATTTTAAAACAAACAAACAAAGAAACAAAGAAAAAAGATGATTAAATGGAAGGAAAATGAAGAGGGGGGAGAGGGGGGGAAAAAGGTGACTACAACTGAACGACAGCCACACTACTAAGAACCAGCAACAGAAGTTGCCAATTTGGCAAAACGGTTATTCTCGGAAGTTGCCAAATTGGCAAAAAGGACGCCATTCTCGGATACTGACCCTGATCGTGGCTTGCCGGCTCCTCCACTGGCCAGTTTTTCTGCACGGAAGTTCTCGTAGTGTGTCTCCTGAGTCACTTCCTGGAGATCCTGCATGTGGGTGCTGGGAGAGAGAGAGAGACAGAAGAAAAACATTTGTTCAGGTTCAATTTTGTTTTAGTGAAAGTTTTACACAACTTGCAAGACACATAGGTCATATAAGTGCCGAAGATATGAAGTGTTACGAAGAGAGAAAAAAGAACAAAAAAGGAAGATAGGTAAAGACAATAGACGTTTGATAGGAAAGGAGCACACCACACAAGAGAACCCGCCAACCACCCATTTTTTCGTTGTTGTTTTAGTAAGAGTTTTATACACAAAAAGGTCAAAGATTCGAGTGCCAAAGATTAAACGTGTTACAGGAGAGTAACAAACACAAGAAAAGTAGGAGGGGAGATATGGATGATAGATGTTTGAAAGGAAAGAGGGAGCAAACCACACTGGAGCACCCGCCAACCACCCATATCGTTTAGGTGTAACGTTCCTTTAAAAACTGTAAGGTTATTCAGGAACAGAATCACAGAACCTAACATTCTTCTCCGATAGGGTCCAGCCACACACACAAATGAAACAGATGCACACACAAGTCAAAAGATATTTATGAACAAAGCACAAAAACACACTGACAAACACACAGTCACGGTACCAGTACTCACATCAACATGGTCCTCAGCTTGATGAAGTCACAGTGCTCAGGGTTCTCCACTTCCACCACGCCCCATGGGTACATGCGACCTCTGACCTTGCGACCTTTGACCTCGATGATTGTGTTGGCTCCCACCACAGCAAAAGGCACCGCCCCCTGGGGAAGTATGCAAATTGGCAAAGTTTTAGTCTGATTCATAACGTTAGGATGAGGAGGAGGAGGAGGAGGAGGAGGAGAAAAAGAAAAAGGAGAAG